CAAAACATTTCAAGTCACTGATTTAGACACAAGAATGCAGTCTTAGCTTTTTTGGATGACGGAGAAATTCATTTTGGGCCAACCCTCGGGGCCAACTACAATTTTTGAAACTCGGGGATAATGGACCACCTCCTTTCTCAACATAAATTCCAGGCTTAGTTTGCATAGTGAGTCTTAATTTTTCTTGTTCAATTTATGACTGTCTTTTATGCTAAATTTCTAGTTTCCTATTGTTAAGCACCAACATATTTGGCCATGGGATTCCTTAACTTAATGCATTACTCTGTTAGCAATATTTATGTTGTAGTACTGTTCTCTTCTAGATAGCATCCATGGGCAGGCTCACGCTATAGTGCCCAGTGACTTTACTCTAGTGTCCGTCCTGCCTGTGCTACTCCAAGTTTCAGGGCGTAAGTGTGTCTCAACCGTCCTCTATCAACACCACCTTCTTGAATACTAATTCTTAGACACTGTCGTTTATCAACACTACCTTCTTGAAATACTTATTCTTTGTAAAGTCAATCTTATGTAATTATATTATTACAGCAAGAGAAGTTTCTAATTCAAAATCCTCTTCATTTGATGAAGGCCATACTGTCTCTTTTTTCTACAAGTTAAATGATCATACCTATAAGTGGAGTTCATGTGGAATCTCTTACTCTCGGTGACCTTTTTCCCCCCCTTTCATTAAGAAGTCATGCAAAATCATCAGATTGAATGCAGTCATGTACAATACATAGAACAACCTATGAAACGAAAAGGAAAAAGGATGTCCAATACTTGGAATTTGGCACATCAGCTATTTAATTTTGGCTACGTAATCTCTCTAGAAATGATACTTTACCATGCCAGTGAAACCATGGATTAAAATTTAAATCGATGGTTTATTTCGTTGGGTCTATACTGAGGTGTACTTTGTATTGTTGATCACTTCATCCTTTAGCATGACTATTCTTCAGGTATTTTATCTAAGTCGTAAGGCTTTGTTCTTTTTTCATTAATGTGAGTATTGTACGTTTAATAATTGTGCTCCTGTTTGAGTATATGAGCAAAAGATTCTTAAATTTCATTCCTTGATTTACCACCTCTTGTGCTGAATTCAATCTGTCTCTTCATCAAAACATTTTTTCAGCTTTTGCATAGTTATGCATGATGTATGCTCGAAATTTTCTGTAATTTGGTATTCTAAAGATGGTTATGTTTCGCAGAAATTTCTTATGTGCTGGGAAAGAGCAGTTGAAGATGCTGGCTTCTGCAATGTTTGTCATACAAGCATGGTTTCAAATGGGAAAGCAGGTGGTTCAGTTCAGGACTATGAAAATTGACTTTAACTGTAGTTTGAATGGAGGCCTCAAAGCCAAAATACTTTTCCTCTGTTTTTCTTGGTGGGTCGTTTATCTTTTTTATATTTGCTCGTGCAATCTATGATTTGACGTGTAAATACATTCTGTTTGTAATCTCAGTTGCAATCTTATTAAGTGATTGGTACTTAAAAAAGTTTCCCCTTTTCAGCCATCTTTCTAGTTTACCCCTAATTATATTGTTTTATATGAGTTGTGAGCTGAGTGGTTTGCTAGTTTCTACTTCATTAAATGATGGGTTTTTGAGAAAAAGTTGTGTTACTGATTACTTCTAATTATACAGCCAACAAAAAAGGAAATACAATAGAGAGGGTTACACCATAATTGACATTATGATTCGTCTGTGGGTCTATCTTGGGATAACTTATCCCACTACCATACATATGAGATAACTTATTCTATCACTATGAATTATGATATAAATGGTGGGATAAGTTATCTCAAACATGGCAATCAAAAATAATTTTATTTCATCACTATTTATTTTTATCTCTCACACCAAACGATCCGTTAGAGTTTGTTGTTCAGAATGAGTGTGATCTAGTTATATTTTACTATGATGTATTAGTTACTTTTTGAAAAATATTGAGTCAAAATAAGTATCAGTGACTTTTAGTTGTATGGGTTGTCTGGTTACGTTGGGGGTGGGGGGGGGTTATGTATTCATGTAGCATATTCAGCTTTGGGAAAATCCTTTTGGCCATAATATGGCCAGGTAAAAGGATATGTTCACACTATAAACTAGTTTGTTTTAGGATATTTTTGCCCTTTAACTTAAATATTGAATATATTCTTCAATTATATTTTCAATACATTGAAAATGATTAATGAGATTAATTATTAATAATTTTTTAATTAAACATGGGAAAGGAACCACAAAATTCATCAAAGAAAACATAAGTCTCACCCACTCTTCTCACTTGAAATTTTCAAGATCTAAATTTTTTTAAAAAAATTTGACAGTAATAGTAAAGGAGAAAAAAAAAATATCTCTTTTTCGATTTCAAAATTACCTCCTTATTTCTTTTGTTTATTTTGTTTTCCATTTCTAAATTACCTCCTTAATTCTTTTGTTTATTTATTTTCCATTTCTTTTTTCTCGATGATAAAAAAAAAAGTACAAAAGAGGAGTAAAGTGTAGATAATCTAGTTTAGTAATTTCCAATCGTGAAAAGATAAATTATATCAAATTTAAATATTAAAAATGTATATCTATAATACTCAAAATTAAAAAAACTGAAATTGACCGAATTGGCAAAATAATTACTCTTATTTGTTTAAAGTGTTGTTGTGACACATCGATTTTCTGGAAAAAAAGTTAAATGATAAAATAATATTTTATCAGATTATACTTAGAATATATATGAGCAAAATATGAAGAAAACAGAAATTACCATGTTTCCTCTATTATCCTCGTCCGTATATGAATCAATCATACACAAATTTGTTAAGCATGAACTTCAAAGTTTCATCACATATATATTTTTTTCTTTATTAGTATTATTTGTTGTTTTATAAATAAACAAATGTTTGTTATTAAATGATATGTTAAAATATTAAGTATACATAGTTGTAGTCAGAATAATATTATTTATTGCTCTCAAATTAATATTTTTTGAAACTGATTAGGAATTTTTAAAATTAAGTAATTTTATTGTATTTATTATATAAATAAATTTAAATTACATATTTAATAATTATTTAAATTAAATTTTAAATAACTTTTATAAATATAATGTAAAATAGTTCAATAATAGCCGTCAAAACTCAAAATACTTTAGAATTGATAGACATCGACACATTAAAGAAATACTAAAAATCATATGGTTCATAAGTGCCGATCCTATTTAACAACAACCCAAGTTATTTGCACATTAATGTTGTAGTTCTACATATTTATTAATTATTATGTTTTAAAAAATTAAACTACATATTTAAATATTATGTTTAATTATTATTTAAAATAAAAAAAACTACGTATTGAAAACTACATATTTAATTATTGTTTTAAAAAATTAAACTACGTATTTCTATAATGTGTCGATGTCTACAATTTTAAAGTATTTTGAGTTTTGATTATCGTTATTGAAATATTTTTTTCAATTATAATTAAAAATGATTTTTATGTATAGTTGTCTCCTTCGGTAAAAAATTCTATATTAAATGAAAATATTTTTAAAAAAATGTATATCCTAATTATGTTATACTTTATTTACATACATTAAACATATTGTAATTTAATATAGTATCCTATATAAAATACATCTATTTTAAAGTATTATAATTGATAAGTAGGTATTGAGTGATCTTTTATTTATTTGTTTTGAAATATCCTCTTAATTAATATTATTGGAGTAATTGATTTTTTTATTCATGGTTAAAATTAGTGAAATAATTTCACCAATTTCTATATATGTTAATTCTTGTTTGGAATGATAATAATATAAACAAATTAATATGTTATTCATGGTATAGTTATAAATGTCTTATCATTAATTATTTTTTAGAAATATCTAATTTCCAAAATAACATTATTTTTTCTCTTGAAAAACATCCATTATATAAACTAATCTATTTAGTTGATTATATTTAAAGAGAAAATCATTTTTTTTAATCTAGCTTAATTACTATATTTTACTAAATTTGTATTACAAAATAATTAAGATAATCTTAAGTAGATAAGATAGTCATTTGTAGTTATTATTACTGAGAAATTTAATTGTCTTCTTCAATAAAGAGATTTATTTTAAGCAAAAAAAATAATTTTTTAATGGTATGCATTGGTACCTTATGAACATAATTGAGTTCAGGGGAGGGTTAGAGGAGGGAGTGTAGGTTATTGTATATGTAGAACATAATTTGTATGATATATAATGAAAAAAATATTAATGTATAAAAATAAAATTACAAAAATATTTTTAAAACTAAAGCGCACAATTTTTTTATTAACTAAAGAATATTTGTTTTTAAAAATAAATCGAATGAACTATACACATATACAAAAAAACTTACACAAAAACATTTTTCATTTTTCTTGGCAATCAAATAGTTTGTGTTTTAGTAGTTCAAGAAGTTTGGGAAATAGAAAAAAGTTAGTTTGTTTGGAGGGAAAAGTATTGAGGAAATAAATGCAAAAATTGAAGGATATTATAGTTAGTTTGTTTGGAGGGAAAAGTATTGAGGAAATAAATGCAAAAATTGAAATAAGGATATTATAGTCATTTTACATTTCTTACCAAATTCTGATTAAATTTTTCTGGCTATTTAACATTACTCTTCTTTTTTTATCAGGCGACTGTTGTAAAACTAGACAAATAGATGTGTTCATCATTTTTACATTTCCTTAGCTGTCCATTGAATTTGAGAACAAACAAACAAATATCGGGAATGTAAAAAGGTGACCTCACTCTAGTTATCAGAAACATTCTGTCATTAAATGTAGAAATGCTACAATAATAGTGAATTAAAACAAACCTCTTCCACATTTTCCTCCAGCCTTTGTGATTGTCTTGATTAGGAACTTGGTGAGAATTTTGCTGATTATCTGGTGGTTATGGACAGTGTCTTCTCTCTTCAAACTAGTACTATATATAGCCATGCAGATTGTACTGAGTATTTACAATAGGCAAGTCGTTATCCATGAAGCTAATCACTTTTTTCGCCTTGTTTTTCCTGCTACAAAACACTACTATTCTTTTTTTTGTTGCTGCAGACTATTCTGTAGCGACATCACAATATGGTGGTAACACTCCTCCGCCTATTACTAGCCAACCACCACCTTCTCATGGCTATCAGCCGCCTAGTTCTCCAAGTACACCACCTCTGAGGCATGCTCCACCACACCATGCGCACCCACCACCTTCCCATGGTCATGTACCACCATTTGTTGGTAATCCTCCATCGCTGTCTCCAGTGATTTCTCCATCTAATCCCCCACCATCATATAGTTCTCCTCCACCCTCTCATGGTAGGGGTCATACACCATCTCAGGGGCATAAACCACATTCACCCTCTTATGGACATACACCACCTCTTACAAAGCACACGCCACTTGGAGGATATCATTCACCTAGCTATCATCAACCTTCACCCCCAAGTCATTATGGACATCCTCCACCACCAACACCAACTTACTTTCCTCCTCCTTCTCAAATGAAACCTCCATCACCTCCATATTCACAACCATCGCCGCCGCCACACTCACCACATTCATATGGACATGCTCCACCCCCTAAAGGGCACACGCCACCTAAAGGACATCATCAACCTTCACCCCCAAGTCATCATGCACATTCTCCACCACCAACACCAATTTACTCTCATCCTCAAGTGCAACCTCCACCACCGACTTATTCATCTCCATCACCTCCATATTCACAATCATCACCGCCACTACATTCACCGCCCTTGCATGAATATTCACCACCTCCTAAAGGGCACACACCACCTAGAGGACATAATCCACCAAGACATCATCAACCTTCACCTCCGAGTCATCATGGACATCCTCCCCCTACACATGCACAACCACCACCAACTCCAATTTACTGGCCTCCACCTCAAGTGCAACCTTCACTTCCGACTTATTCACCTCCTCCACCTACATACTCACCACCATCACACTCGCCACATTCACATGAACATACACCACCTCCTAAAGGGCACAAGCCACCTAGAGGACATCATACACATTCACCTCCGAGTCATCATGGATATCCTTCACCAACATTCTCGCCGCCACCATCTCCGCCAACGTACTCCCCTCCCCCACTTGCAAAATCACATCCACCTCCACCAACATACTCCCCTCCTCCACCTGCACAATCGCCACCTCCACCAACGTACTCCCCTCCTCTACCTGCAAAATCACCACCACATCTACCAACATATTCCTCTTCTCCACCTGCACAATCACCACCACCTCCACCAACATACTCCCTTCCTCCACTCGCACAATCACCACCTCCACCAACATATCCCTCTCCCCCACCTGCACAATCACCACCACCCCCACCAACATACTCCCCTCATCCACCTGCACAATCACCACTGCCACCATCACCAATTTACTCGCCTCCACCACCATCATCCCCTACTCCACCTACATACTTACCACTACCACTAACTTCTCCTCCTCCACCAACACATTCACCTCCTCCCTCTGCTTACTTTTCACCTCCACCATCGACTACATATTCTCCTCCTTCTCCTCCATATGGTCTTCCACTAAGCACTCCATAAACTGCAGCGTCCACCCGACCAACAAGTCCTCCACCTTCAATGTACCATGGCCTATCGCCACCACGTATTTCAAATACACCATAAAAGTTGCATGAGGTTGCTAGTTGCTCTTTAGATTAATAAGAATGGTCTGCTATGTCTCTTATGTTGTCTTACTAAAAGCAGTTATATAGTGTTTACCAGTTGTTTTTTTCTTACTGTAAGAGAACAACTTTGGATATTAATATCCTGTTATAAATTTCAAGTTATGTTTAATCATTGATTAAGTACTATATATTGTCCAATGCGTTGGTCATGGAAGAATAAATCATATAACCACTAAATAGAAAAAGGATAAATTAAAAAAAATTTATATGTTGTTATATTTTTTTGAAACTATCAATAAAAGGTATATGTACTATTGATTTAGTTCGATTTGATTTAATTTATTACATAACTAAATGAAACTTTTATCGATTATTCAAAGATAAGTGATCAAGTAAATACACATATTAATTTGTTTATGTGCATCATCACTAACTTGTTTAGCATACAAAACTAAATAAAACATGTTTTGAGGACTTTTTTTTTCATTACTAGATAATCAATGCTCCTGCATAATGCGGACGTATGCCTAACATCAATATTAAAAATAGGTTCATTATTGAGGATCATACTTGTTTAATTTATTTAGCAGAATTATTACTAAAAATAATATAATGCTATCAAGCAAATAAAATGTTGACTGTATGATGACAGTTCATGTGGTTTACATTTATTTGAGAAATGAAAATTCTAGAATTGGTATGTGCATTAAAATACATTAATTTAAATAGCATTAGTTCTCAATCTGCCTCTATTAATTATAGAAATATTTTTCAATGAACAAGATTTTATCATAATCAGATATTTTGAAAATTAAACTTTTTTCTATAAAAAGATGTTATCTAATTACATGAATTTTACGGACGATTAAAATAATTAAAAGAGAAAATTAGATGAGTGGCTGAATGGCGAGCATCGTGTGCATATAAAAAGTTGAGAGGCACATGTGATTGTCTCTGTGCAAATATTCGCTGACAGTCTGTCTCATCTTCGTGGAACCCACTTTGTTCTCTCTAGTGCGCCTCTTTAAACACCTGGCCTATATACTCTCTCTCTCTCGTAGTATCTACTTCCACAACTCCTCTCTCTCTCCGGCAGGCCGGCGATCGGGTCAAACCTCATTGTTTGACCATGGCTTCCGTGATTGAATCTGCTTGGACGGTAAGACTTTTCTACTTCATTCGATGTTTATTAGCCCTAAATTGTACTGAATCTGCTTTTAGTTTAACTGCATTTTGAGATTGACGCTTTTATTTTGTGGATCTACCTGATTTGCCGACGTTGAGAATCTGTATATTTGTGCATGCGGATTTGTTTTAGTTTGCTGCATGAGCGACAGTACACTGATGAGGCCGATTGGCACATCATTGCTTATATCGATCGTTAACCTTTTTTATTCGTTACATAATTTTAGTGTCTGAGTAGCTTAGGTGTAGTCAACTAATTTCACGTGATAGCAACAATAATTCTGTCCAGCAAGTCTAGGACAAATGAGAAGAAACCATTTAGTTTAAATTGTCTCTGTGGGGATTTGGACTTGAGACTTGATGGTTTTCAAGTCACTTTATGATTACTAGGCCAAATCCTTGAGTGCTTTGCATATATAATCAATAAATAGCTTTGACTATGAAATATAAATTCATCGCTCCATGCATATGATTTGATTGTTGACAGAATCTCCTCTGTATTTTCCTTTGTGAAATTTTAAATAAACGTTTTTGACTCTACTGAAGTTGATTATTGAAGGTATAATATGAGAAGGTGGTTAAGATTTAGTGACTTTAGGCAATTTTGTTGGGTAGTCGTCATTCATTTTTTTCATATCCTTTCTCTCTCTGTCAGATAGCTATGGGTTCTTTCCGTACAAGTATTAATAAAAAAAGTAGGCAGTATAACTTTAGGGGAGAGAGTTAGTAAAGATTGATTTGGATTAGTGTGCCAAAAGGACACATGCTGGATTAGTAACAGGCATAACAAATAACTGAACAGTGTGCAGCACCATCAGAAATCGAGTGCATAGTGAGTTTGGAGCATTTGGAGCTCAAACTGTGACCAGTTGTTGTTTTATAGTTGTAATAGGTTTGTGAACGAGCTGAAATTGGATCAAACACAGCTGGAGTGTTGTAGTTCTGTTTGTTTAGAAATTGTGGGAATCAGAACTAGATCAGGGGTATAAAGTATTGTTGATCAACCTGGATAAGTGTTGGGTTTGTTTGAATATAGCTATTGAAACATACGTAGAAAGTTAATGATGAGCTATCTCATGGGGTATAAGTGTATGGAATTTAGACATTTACCAAGAAGGTTTTGGGGGGAATTAACTAAGCATGGCAGTTTTGAAGGTTTGTGACGGATAATCAAATTTTTGTCTGACCATTGTCCAGGACATATCTCACTTATTGAAGAATTCTCAAACTTCTTCTGGTTTGCCTTAAGGAAGCTGTGAAATGATGGGAGCTTGACAAGGCTCAAGCTAAGGCTACAGCTTAGATCTAGAACTTAGGAGGCTGTGTATAGATTGCGAGATTGACAACATAAATTGAATTCTAGAGGGTTAAATGGCTTCCAATTCTGATGTCCGAAAGTGGATTCTCTAATTTGAAAATGTACGAAGTGTGGAATATGGCATCCATGTCTTACTATCAAATTCTTGCAACCAATAAAGAATTGAAGAGAAGATCCCCTGGATTTCTGGAAGGCCATGTATAGAACTATAGCTCCTGTGAAGGTCTCTTATAATGGACAGACAGAGCACTATATGAAGCAATTATGATCAATAGAACATTAGAGGAAAACCTTGGTTAACAAATGTTTCATTCTTGGAAAGTCATGAAGATTCAGTTACCCACCTGCTGATGCATTCACTGAAACAAATGAAAATGGACCATGCTCCAGGTTTTATGTGGAACAATTTGGGTTTTACAGTGCATAGTGGTTTAGTGCTCAGCTTCTTAAATAGGCCCCATGGTCTGGAAGTCTGCTCGAAATTTCCGGGGAACTGCTCTGTTATGGTCTGTTTAGTTGCCTTATCAACTTTGTTTTTTGTGGGTGGGTGGGTGAGTGGGAGATGGGGGTGGGGGGGACAGCTGAGAATTTGCTGGTTATTTGGCCACGTTCAAAACTCGGGGTAGTGTGGGTCCACCCTTGACCCTGCTTCCACTTATATACCAGGCTCTAGTCAGTGGCAGAGTTCGGTGACATGCACTAACGTCACTTCTCCCAGTAGAGTTTGATTGTAAGACATCCCAACATAAAAGCACCTCTTAGAGGTTAATTTTTTTCCTTGGTTATCAAATCACTATTAATTTTACTTGCAGCTGTCTGCTTCCATATTTGCTTGTTATATAGTGTTGCCATAGTCAGCTTTGCAGTTTGATGTTCTTTTCCAATTAAATGAAATTCATGTGTCTGTATTGCATCATTATGAGTAGTTACGAAGTGATAAATACCTGAGCCTCTTGTTTTTATTCGTGATGTTTCAGTATCTGATTACAAATTTCAATGACTTCCAATTGGCTTGTCTTGGAAGTTTCTTTCTTCATGAAAGTGTCTTCTTCTTGTCTGGACTTCCTTTCATTCTTCTAGAAAGGGCAGGATGGTTGAGCAAATACAAAATTCAGGTATCACTTTTTTACTCTATTAAGTGAATTACAAGGATTTATCATTAGTCTTCATTAAACATTCTCAATCTGTCTCGGTGTCAATTTTGTGCTGTCTGCACAAAAGCATTTTTGTTTTTTGTTTTAATATCCATCACGCTCTTTCGTTTAACTTTTTACTTCTGCCCCCCTTTTCAGATATCTTATTCTATTAAAATGCTTAGAGCGGGACAGATCTTAAATAAGAAGGAAATTTCTCTTAAATTGCTTCATATTTAAAGTGAAACATATCTTGCATGTTCATGCACCTAACGTGTCTAACATAAAGAGTCTGTCCTTTTTCTCGCCAACGGCCAAGTGTATAGCAGCATAGCACATAAGAAAGGAGATTTGTTGGTTTAACCTAGAAATTTGCTACTGTCTATATGTTGTATGACAAAAGGATTCTTTTCATCCATTTTTTGCTATCCTTCCTGCATAAAAAGTTATCAAGGACTTCATATTTTGTATCAACAATTAAATTTAGAGTATTCGATGAATTACTTGTAAGTATAACTTCATATTGAAAGCAAATTATTCTGACAAACATTCAAATTGACAAATTCTTCCTAAAGCTGATTTTTTTACCTTTGACTTTCTTTTATCTTTTCTAATTCTCTCACATTATAACCTGTTTTTTTCCTCAAAGCTGATAGTTAATATGTCCTCTTCTGATTTATTTTTGACCTTGTCCTACTGAATCTCAATAGTAGAATTCCTGACCTCTCATTTGTTGCAGACAAAAAATAATACTCCTGCAGCTCAGGAGAAATGTATCACTCGCCTGTTGCTGTATCATTTTTGTGTTAATCTCCCACTTATGATGGCATCCTATCCAGTCTTTAAATTAATGGGGATGCGAAATACTCTTCCGTTGCCGTCCTGGTACTTTCAGGTTCTTTATATACTAAAGCTTAGCAGTGACATATCTGTATATGATTATCTTAAATTTTGGTGGTGGTGACAGATCCACACAATTTTGTCAGCTGCCAAATATTGTTTCTTTAGTCTTCTAATTGTTTCGACTTATTCTATCTGTTTTTGTTGGGGTTGGCATGGGGTATCGAAGGTGTTGTTTGATTGCTTATTGATGTCTTGGGAGTGAATTGCAAATATTTTGCTTCTGCAGGAAAGTGATCTCTACGCAAGTATTATTCTACTTTATCCTGGAGGATTTTGTATTCTATTGGGGACACAGGATTTTACATACTAAATGGCTCTACAAGCATGTCCACAGTGTCCATCACGAGTCAGTGAAGAGTATTTTGTTTTCAAATCAATATTTCATTTCTGGTTTTTGGGTCCATTCCTTCACATCTGATGCTTGTTATATCCACAGGTATGCAACACCATTTGGATTGACTTCTGAATATGCTCACCCTGCTGAAATTCTTTTTCTTGGATTTGCTACAATAGTTGGTCCAATCATCACTGGGCCCCATTTGATAACATTATGGTTGTGGATGATACTTAGAGTCCTTGAGACAGTGGAAGCACATTGTGGTTACCATTTCCCCTGGAGCCTCTCAAACTTCTTGCCATTATATGGGGGGTCTGTACACAAATTTACTCTTAGAGAACTGTTTGTTCATTTGTCTACATCAACTATATGTCTGAAACTGCTACTTTTGTTTCCCAGGGCTGATTTTCATGACTATCATCACCGACTGCTCTATACAAAGTCTGGAAATTATTCTTCAACATTTGTTTACATGGACTGGTAATTCTCTACTATAAACTAACAATGAGAAAGTCAATTTCGTGTTTGAAATGCTACTAAATGCTGAAGATCATTTTGTGTGGTAGTGTTGATTATATAGCCAAAATTCAACTTCTGTGTTTTACCAGAATCAAGAACATTTACCTCACCTTGGGAGTTGATCCTTGTTGTCGCACAACCCCTTCGGAAAAAGAAATAAAGAAGAAAAGAATATATTAAAAAATGGAAGAATAGCTAAATATGGTGAAGGTCTGAATTTTCTAAGGGTCGGCTCTCCTTTCTTACAAGCTCTACTTGATGCTTCTCCATATGGAGCAAGCCCTTTAGGAAAACCCATGATTGTTTCTGAACAGTCATAAAGTTTCTGAGAGCATGGCAATGCCTCAAATTTGATTTTGCCCTTCGATATTCTTTTTTTTAAAGTTCTAAAATCAAAAAATTTAAATTGGAATTGGTAAGCAAGCAAATATTACTTTGGGCCCATAACTTGAATTATGCAAAACCAAAAAATCAGCGAGGTAGTTTACCCTCAAAACAAGTCAGAAACCTTTGCATTTAGTATTAACACAGTTGAGTAAATTGTGTAGAAATATAGTGAATAAAATGGCCGAGTTGGGTCTCTGGAAATGTAGTAATCAGGTTTGGCAGTTGTGAAGCGGCACTTGATTACCTTGTGTATTTGCAGAAATATGAAAAGTTGTTATGCAGTTTCAGTTTCTTGAAACTAAAAGAGAGCATACTGTTGACAGAAATGTGTCTCACCAGGCTAACAGAAGAGTATTGTAGAGCCACAAAATTCTTTTAGGAGTTGGCATGAATATGTTAACACAATTCTGATGAAGCCTTGAGCACAAAGACATTGGAAGTTTAGGACATCATTCTGTGTACTCTTTTTTCATTATGAGCTGCTAATGCTCGCATATTCATGTAACAAATGTTGACTGCTAATCTCAATCTCAGTGATGTATGTGATAATTTTTGAAAGTTTTCATTTTTTATCTCATTGCCGAATTGAATAAAAGTTTGAGGTATCATGTTGTGTGTGAATAATTTGATGGATCTCTTTCTTTTGTTAGGCTATTTGGTACTGACAAGGGTTACAGAAGATTGAAGGTGCTGAAGAGTGATGCATGTGAAGCTGAGGGGAAAGAAATGTAGAGATGTGAAAGGGTAAGTTTTGGCTGGTCTGGCATTGCAAGACGGGCTTCTGTACAAGAGCGTATAGGTGAAGGTTTCTGTTGTTGATACCTCAGTTTTATGTGCTTGTGTTCAATTGTAGTTTTGACGTGAACATCGTCTTCTTTGTAGTGTCATCTTAGAAATTAGAAGCATGTCTTGGAAAATTTTCTCCTTGCAAATGTGCCTGCCTTTGTTCTGGCTATTTACGTTATTCAAGTTCCATTATTTACCATGTTTCTTCTCATTGATGGGGGACCTATATTGAAACCAACTTAATCTGATTTTTTTATCTCAACTACAATGCCCTGAATCAGTTAACAGACTGGTCCTTGGAGTTGTCAAAACAATCTTTTATGTCCATAGAAAAAAGTTTCTATTCATTGTTATGTCTTTCCTGTTTTTATTTCTCTGAAGTTTGTCTTTGCTAAGTTTGGAATTGGCAGGAAGCTGAGGAAAAAATATATGTACTTCCTGCTTTCCCAGTTAATATGCAAAATCTCGAGCTCTAACTTCCATTCATTATGGTTTGGTTTGCTTGTCCCGCAACCATTTTACTAAACATTACTTTTAAGTAGTTTGTGTTTCTCTTGGACTGGACTGGTTGATGGAACTTCTGGGATAGTTGCTGAAATCGTTTATGCACTTTATCTGTGTATGAAATTATAGATCTTCAACATAAAACTGTTGAAGTTTCAAATGAAGAATATAGTGGTTGGCCGGTTACTCATCACGGTTCAACCTCGTGTGGTTTAGTTGTTGATTTTAATTAATTCCACAAATGGTATCCTCTCAATAGATTTTCTTAATTTCAATTTGTAACGGGCCACGGGTGATCAAACCAGATATAATCATCGTGTTTGCATAAACAATTACTGGGTACATTCAGAAACTGGTCTCTCACGGCAACTACAAAACCAAATATCACATGGTACGTACTAAATGATTGTTGCTACATTATTAGAGTCTACACGCATCCAACTTTCTTTACTTGTCAACTCAAAAATATGTTGTTTTGGTCATAAGATTGAAAAAGAAAGACCCCCCTCCCCCCCGCCCCTCCCCCAAAAATAAATAAATTAGTTGTGTGAATAAGGCTTGTAACAATCCAAGCTACGTGTAATGCATGGGTGAGGGCGTGTAGCCCAAAAATCAACATCACTATCCTGGGGGGCCTAAATGAAGTAGAATTTTTAATATTCTTTGATATATCATAAAGAACTTGTAAGCTGCTGCCAAATGGTGGAGACCAAAGCTGATGAGAGAGACTTTACGTCGTTCTATTGGGACAACAAATTTGGAACTTTACTTCGGTGTTATCTTGAGGCAACATTAAATAAAGATATTTTAAAATAAAATAACTAGATATTTAAAAACTTTATGAAAAATATTATAAATTACAATTCATATCATTTAAACTCTATCATTTAACTCAGCGGAGGGAGTATCCAATTAATCAGAATTAACAGAAAGACCTAACCATACTTGAAGATACTAATGAAAAACTTTGATTCTTTGCGGATTTTTTTTTGGGGGCATTTGTAAACTTGATATTATAGTCTTAATTTGTACATACTAAATCCCTTGGATAATTTAAAGCAGTGCAGAACAAGGATAACAAAACCTAAAACTCTCATTTGTTGAATCCCTTTTTTTCCCCAAGTCATTTTCTTCCAATTTCAACCGTCTAAAGAACTAATCTAAAACTGAACACCACCCAAAATAAACACACTGAAATGTTAAAGCATAAAGCAAAAAAAGGCTGCAAGAAAGAAAAAAAAGCTTCAATGCTCTCTACGTGTAGTGCTTCAGATCAACCACGACAACGCTGACGTTGTCGTAGCTCCGCCTAGCAAGGGCTAGCTTAGTCAAAAGCATCGATGCATCAGAGCAACATTGGTCGGGATCCATCTCGCCGTCGGCTCCATTTCCCGGCATAGACGCCGGCGATGCATTCCTTTTCAGGCACATCCCGGCAACGCCACATGCAGTGTCGTTTGAGACTACGTCCCATAATCCGTCACTTGCTAAAATCAAACAGTCATCCTCCGCCGTGCGATCAGTTACCGTCACTTCTGGCTCGCAGATCACATACGGCTTCAAATAATTATCACCTGCATATTTTACACAAATTTGTAAGTATCATCACGTCCAATTCAGTTATCAAAGCAAAACATAGATCTGTATAATGGGATTAGAAGGTGGAAATCGAACACTCATCAATCCTGTAAAAGATAGTCAACCAATTGAGCTACTCTGATTTTCCGAGATTTGAATTTTAGGTGTGACATTCTGCATTTTTCTTCTCAAATTCCTGATTCTGTCTACGAAGAAGGACAAGTTAATTCTACTTACCAATGGCTCTTGACATAGCCAAAACGCCTGAAACACGAGGGCCGTCCCAGTAGATTACTCTGCCACCAGCTTCCTGGATGCGGTTAAGTTCATCCGGACGATCCGGCTGAAATGTAACATATACACAAAAATTAATCCGATTAGAGAAATAGATCAAGCGATTTTGATTTATCACCAACAATTTCTTTGTTTGTATTGGACGAGGGATTTACTTTTTGATCGTTAGAAAGAGGAATAGCTTTGCCATTTCGGCAAAGAATAGCTCTGGAATCACCACAATTCGCGACAATAATCTTGTCCGGCGTAACAACTGCGACTACCGCCGTTGAACCGACGGCGTCACATTCCGGTGTATGAAGTTCGCACCGGCATGTGGCGCCGGTTACGCTATTGTTCCATTCAATCACTTCTTTGTCCATTCGATTGAAGCTTCGGTTCATTGAATGCTCCCACTCTTCATGATCTCCTTCTTTGTTCTCCAGCTCCTCCTTCACCAGCTCGTGTAACCTCTCTTTACACTTGGTCGCCACCTACAAAATCACACAAATATATATATACACTGCCCACAACTTGTAGAATTAATAAGCTGAAAACGTAAAATTGTCCGCACGGGCGAGGCTGCAGCATTAAATCAACAAGTTGAACTCAATCCAAACAATTTGTGTGAAGAATTGTTGAGATTACTATTGAGTTTTGAATCCACAATTGTGAAGTACTCCTATAATGAATTTAGTGATGAAAATAAAAAGTTTAAATCCTGAATCTGCCAGTATGTACGAGTTAAATTAGGTTATTAACGTACATGAGAGCAGCCGTGACCATCGTAAACGGCAAAGTAATGCAATTCTCCACTGTTTCCTTGTTCCATTTGGCAAAATGAAGGATGAATTGCGACTGCATCTTCCATATCTCTCCTCCTTCCACAAACAGAGGCGAAGCCAAACTTTGGGTAAGCCACTGATTGAACAAGGAGAGTAGAATTCGAAGGACCCAAAAATGGAGTCAAAATAATAGTTGGCGGTGACCCTTTCGTCTCTACTAATCTCAGTTGCTCTTCATCATCGTCGGTGCTAGAACTTTCCACAGCGTTATGACAAATCCTTGAAACAGAACCGGAAATAAGTTTCAATTTTGGACGTTTAATTCCATTCTCTGTTCCGGGTTGAGTTACTCCAGCGATGACTCTTATCTTTCGAAGCTCCATTCTCCTCCTCCTCACCGCCCGTGAACTTGATTCACACGTTGACGATGAATCAGTTTCAGTTACAACTCCAAAACAGACCTCTGCCATTCACACTTTTAAAACAAGCAAGACAACTTCAGAAACTGAAGAGGCCTTTAATTTTTAGTCCCCACTCAGAAAAAATATGCAGTTTACAGAACCATTGCCGGAAAAATTGAGTGCAGTAAACAGAGAGGGAAGAGAGAAGAGAAACGTAGAAATCAATGGCAGATACAATGAGGACCCCGATATAAAGGAAGTCACTTTCGCGGTGTCATTTTTCTATAGGATGATTTAGAAAATAAACATTTTCATATTTCTGTGCAATTATTTTACGTCAAATATTACGCTGTTTCAATTTGTTTAGCTCGATAGGATCAAGAGAATTAGATTAATTATTTTCTTCATCTATTTATCTTTTTACTCTATTTTAAGGAAAGTTACGTGATAGTTTTTAATGACAGATTTTAATATGACATGTTTCACCTATTTTTATAAAAAAATATTTTAATATACAATATATTATCAATTTATTTTTATAATCATAAGATTCAGTTTCTTTTACTTTCCTAATAAATTTTATGTCAAGTAAAAATTGGATAAATAAATAAAAATAAAAATATATAATAACTTATAATTATTTTTTAATTATTTAAATAAAATTTAAATTATATTATATAAATTATGAGAGAGGAATTAAATTTCTACAGGGAAAAATATATTTTTTATGTCACTCAATTTTTATTTTTATAATTTTATGATTTGTTTAAAAAAGAAATATTTAATTTACATTTAAGCGATTTTTCTATTCATTTTGTTAATGACCAAGAGATATTAATTACTGGTTGTAACATATCCTATCAAATAATGTAATGCAGTGGATGAATTAATTAAAGATTTTGAATTTGAGTCTCAAATATAAAAAAGTTCTTGGTAGGAAGTATTTTCTTCAGGATGAGTTCCTACATGGAACGAATTTAAAATAATTGGGCTCCATATGGATATCGAAAATTAAGTAGGCGTTTGGCCATGCAATATCATATCACGATATGAAATCGTGAGATGAAATCAGTGTTTGGACATGCCATTTCATACCGATTCCCTCTTATGATTTCATATCATGAGATGAAATCTCATATCTCCAAAAATCATGATTTGGGAATTCCATATCATTATTTGAGATTTTTTATATAAAAATGAGAAAATGGTCTAACCCCCCTCCCCCCCTCCCCCCAATCTATTACCCAATTCTCAACTACACATTTATTCTTTACGGGAGGTCCTATTACCCCCTAAACATTTTAAAAGTATAATATATACCCCCTTAAAAATGCACGCCCAGATTTATATAAAAAAGTGAATTGCACACGCTATTAGCTTTTTTTAATAAAAAACTTTTATTCTGTAATTATTTTGCATCTATATTTCCCTCTTTTACTTTCCTTTTCCATTCTTCTTTTATTTTGATCTTGACAAATTAATTTTCCAGATTTGAGGATACATTCTATTATTGTCACCATCTTCTTCGAACTTCACCGGAGTTATGAACACTAGAAAAAATTTGATGCTTTCTATTGAAGCAATAATTTAATAATGTTGAGCAACCCATTTCGATCCAATGATTTCATTGATGAATCTACTCAATTGATGGATCTGCTACTTGATGATTTTTTTCTCCATTAATGACTCTAAAGTTCGATCCTCTTGACTTTCGATTTCGATTTTGAGTTATTGTCAATATTTCGCATTAATGAGAAGTAAATATATTGTGAGAAATTTGTGATTTGAGAATGAAAGTTACCTTAAAGATGATAGGTTAGTGAGAGCGGCGACCTGGTGGTGGAGCAGAGCCGCCGCCGATGACTTTCAATTTTAATTTTGAGTTATTGTCAATTTTTCACACTGATGAGAAGTGAATTTACTTTGAGAAATTTTGTGATTTGAGAATAAAAGTTAACTTAATGATGAAAGGTTGGTGAGGACGGCGACCTGGTGGTGGAGTAGAGCCGCCACCGATGTTGCTTTGACGAAGAGAAGAACAAAGTCAATAAAAAGCCGCTGATATTTCTTTGATGAAGAGAAGAAGAAAGACGATTAAAAAAATAAAGAAAACATAAAGATTTTTGAAGGATAAAAACATTATAATGTGAAATTTAAGAAATACTTTTAAAATTAAAGCTTTAATTATTATTTTTACCTCTCACTCTCAAAGAGAGAGTGAACTACGCTTTTTTTTGCTACTTCATCATTTAGGAAGCAAATAATTTTACTTTAAAATAGTGTAAGGGGGTAATAGGACTCTTGTAATGAATAAGTGTGTAGTTGAGATTTCGGGTATAGGTTGAGGGGGTTTTAACATCTTTTCTCTATAAAAATTGACCCACAAATTTATATTTTTTTAAAACAACCCCACATTTATATCTACAAACCATGTATATATAAATAAATTTTATAATCACATCATTAGTTTTTAAAAATGATCATTCTTACCAACATAAAATTTATTATTACTTTTAATTTGGTGAAAATAATAAAGTAATAATTGATTTTGTGAATATAAATAAAAACGGGGAGAGTAATACTTTTTTGTTTTTTCAGGATTAAAATAAAACTTCTCTTTTGGCTACAAATGAAAATGTTTAAAGCCATTTAATATGAAAAAGGACAAAATTGGTGATGAATGTTTGATAAGCACTGCTTCAAATATGTTTAATTTTAGTATGAAATTAATGCACTGAAAAATGTGTAATTGCACACAAGTGAAACAAAACATGAACCATTATGACATTGACACAGAAGTAAAAATTGTCATAATTTATGTAGTGTTACATAATTATTTGCGAGAATACCAAATAAGTAATGAAATATTTATGGTCTATGAGCATTAAAATATAGTTGCGGATGATATTGACCAACAAATGGCGCAAAGTAACAATATTGGTTCGTCTTTTCGATCATACGATTAAGAAATGCAAGTTCAACGTGAGGACATTATACGTACTATGTGGGTGAATTATATTAAAGACTAGTACACTACAATTTATGTTCAATTTTATTTTTATTGAATTAAAGTTTGATCAATTAAACTTAGATGAAACAATTACTTAAGTGGAGAACAAATAACTTTGTAATAATTTATTATGCAATTTTATAAATTTTTGTGTATTTGATAAGACTGAATAAATAATTGAAGCTATTTTAATAATTTTACAATTTATGAGATTCTTATATTTATGAGAAAATAAAATTTCATATCGTATATCCAAACAAAACTTTAATTTTATCTCATAATTTCTTATTATGATATCGTAATTTCATATAGCATGAATCCTAAAAAGATTACTAACTGCAACCCATCATTACAAATTTACAATCAACCAAAACAGTTGCTTCATGTGTTTTAAGTGCAGAGGGTCTTAAACCAAAGAATTTGTGTCCGTATGTTTTCCTTTATGATAACATTCGTCTTTTCATATCTAACACGTATTTTATATAATAATGAGAAGTGTTAAATAGCCAGAAAATATGGCAAGAATTTGGTTAGAAAATTAATTTTTTTTTTAAAACAAACTGATCATTTTTTAATTTTTTAGTTAAAATGTATTTAAGTTAAAAGGATAAGAATGTTTAAAAGTTAAAATAGCATAAAAAAAATATCATTCTGACCAGATTTTCTGCCCAAAAAGATTTTCCGTTATATAATACTACTATAAAAGAAGGAAAAGTGAACATGAAATGTGGTACGAAAAAAATACTTTCTCTGTGACACGTAAATGAATTTTCAAACAAAATAAATATGTTGTCCGCCTCAATTTGTTAAAGACCTAACAACATTTCGTCAAATGTCAATTTGATCATTAATTAGATCATACTCATTAAATAAAATGAAAATATAAATGCATTCTTTGCAATTTGTGGTCTAAATTTTAGCATGCTTATTAAATAACATGAAAATATAAAATTGGGAAAATATCTACAGAATGGATGTGTGGGACAAATCTGGAATTAAGGTCTTGGATTTTTTTTTTTAAAATTTGAAGTCTTAGATTTTGAGCCTTGAGTATGAGAAAGTTTTAATAGAGAGTGCTTCTCCTTGAATGGGCAATATGCAACATGAATTCAAATTAATCGAACTCCCATACAAATATGGAACATCGGATGAAGATAAAGAATATGAAAAAAATATTGAAAATACTTCGTACTATTGACAATCTTAAAAATATATTTTTGCTTGACTAAATAAACTTAAATACATTTTTTATCTTGCCACATATGGGTAATACATTCCTAAAATTCTCATCAAGTTTAGGAGTGTTTTCAATTTCTCTTGACTTTTTATTAAGAGATATGTTTGTGCTCCTACTTGTTTGGGACCACTTCCTATATCACGTGGTAGATTGAGATCAGATCATATTTAAGTTGAGATAATCAAATACAAAATATTTTTAAGATCGTTAATAATTCGAAGATAAAACTAAAAATTTATGCTAGGTTCAAAAATGTTTTTGATATTTTTTTCAAAAAATATTTTAAATATTTTAATAAGAGCTAAAAGTGAGAAACGTGGCAAAAGTAGGAGATCGGAAGAGGCAGGCATAGCAGGTCGCGATGTTGACGGGTGAGACGAGTTGTCCGCAAAGCTTCCTTTGATATTCGCGCTCGACACAATTGATATAAATAGTCGTTTCTTTAAATTTTAAAATATTAGTAAGAGTTAATTTTTTTTTTAAAATTACGCGTATAAGCAAACATATATTATTAGTTAACATAATTATAGTTTGTCCTAATTATAATTTGCGACCTATTTTTAGTTATAATTATGCGACTTAGCTTTTTAATTTTGTATAATTCGCATATTTGTATAATTCAAAATTTATATAATATAATTTATATAACTTTTGTATAATTCAGAATTTGTATAATATATTTTTTATAACTGTTTGCACTTCTAATGTTTATAATTGTATAAATTCGTTATTTCAAGTTTATACAAAAATAACTTAATTATACAAATATACCAGCGAATTATACAAACGAAACAGCTTAAACTGTAGTTATAGACCATAAATATTTAAACTATAGCTATGAACCATAATTAAGTTTATTATAGTGACTATTTGCGAAAATTTCTCCTTAAAAAAATTATAATTACACATTTTATATTTTGTGAAATAATGCATATAACATTGCTTAATGTGTATTGATAGCTTTTTATATTTGTTAGTATAATTAATTTTGATATTTAAACTAAATTTTAAATAAAATAGTTGTACATTTTATC